CTCCCTGAGTGAGGATATTGTCCAAGCAATGTCGGTTCCCAGTTTCGAAAGCTGCCTTGATGCTTTTTTTCTTATGGCCGTGGATGAAAACATCTACTCAACCAGTCAGCGGTTCCCACTTCCTTTCGAGGATGGCCGTCCTGTTTGAGTTTATTTTACTGTCTTGAACTATCTTTGAAGAGACTCCTCCGGGCCTTGGGCCTCTTGTCTTAAATATATTGAAATTAAAATTGAATTGAGACTTTAAGCAGCATTTCCAGATCATTTAATACCAAAGAGTTAGCGTTAACCAATCCGCTTTCATGACGTCGTCTTCCATGCATGCACTGTGGTAAACTGCAATCAAATGGAGGATCGAATCAGATACGGAATGACTCTGGGCAAATTAGGATCGTGTCAGAATGCCCTTGTATCATTTATCCAATTAGTTGAGACTGCAACTCGTATTTTTTTACGCGCGACTCACTTCTGCTTATTCGGCCTTGCTTTCGTCGAAGTTCCCGTGAATCCAAAACAAAGGTATTTACAGTAACCTTCCCACCGGCCTTGTCGATGACATTCTGCGCACTTTTAGCTTCTGACATAGCCCAGGGACTAAGTTGTTTCTGTCTAGAGTTTATTTAGCTTGACTATTTAAAAAAACAGATCACCATCTCCTCCTGACAACGGCGGAAGCCTTTACGATATTATTATCAATTCGCTCGTTATCTTCCGCTAATGCTAACATCAAACTCGGTGATTGTCCGAAAATCTCAAGAGGAGTGAAGCAGTTGCTGAGACTTTTTGTTAAGCATGCTCACACACATACAAATTATTGCCAACCGCTTTCAGAATAATTTACATATTTTTATGATGTAGAGCTAGCTGAGAAATTCTCATTCCTATCCTGCAGTATGATGTTATCTGTAAACGCGTCTGTTGGAGATATTTTACCAGCGAATATGTTAGTAACACGTCATCCAGTTGTTAAACGCTTTGGATGTAAAATAAAACACGATTTTTCAACGTACGGAGCATCGATGTAGAAGCATGCAGGGGTTTTATTTGAGCGCATCGCGTTTCCTCTTCATCCCCTGCCGCGTAATTCTCCTTCGAGTACTCAGGAAGGTTGTGACTGTCGGTAAAAGAGTTTTGAAACCGTACAAGGCCCTTGGCAACCTCCGCAGTACGTTTATCCTTATCTTTTCGCCCCTGGGTGCCTCTGTGTAACTTCTGCGCAGCATGAATTTCTCGCAGGCTGACGCGTGTAGGCGATGAGGAGGAGGAGGCGTCAACTGGCGAAAAGTGTATCTGCCGGCTGCCTAGCGGCCGACGACCGTAGTTGCGCCAACAGCAGACACCAGCAGTGGTAATCAGCAGGAGACAGAGGAGGCATATGAGGGGCAACAGTACCTGAAAGGCGACAGAGGAGCCGAAAAGGCTAAACGTGCCCTCGGAGGTGTGTCCACCGCCTCGCAGTTCAGCTTTGCGCTCAGTTTTGGCATTCAAAAGTCCCAGACCGATTTCTCCGGGTCTTGGTACGCGCAGAATTCGGACCGGACTGACGAATGAGAGGGCAGGTGTTTTGGCTAAGATTATCCGCATATCATATTCTTGACCTGCAAAAGGCAATAAAATAATACTGCTTACTGGATTGAAAAAGTAGGTCTTTGAAGAATGACAGTGAAGTAACAAAAGCATAGTCATTGGAACTGTTGTTAGGTGTCAATTTTAAAGCTCGGCAATCTGATGGAAAACTAGTTAGGATGTCAAAGGACAATAAAGCGATGGGGTGGTTAACCCCATGCTTCCGTCAGCTATGCTATTTAAATTATAATCGACAATCCAGTTTAAATATATTAGTTCTCAAACAACAGAATATAGTCATTTCATGTGCCAACAACTTAAATTATTAAAATACCCCTAAGACTTTGTAATTAATAAGTTATTTTCAGTACAATATAGCCGCAAACACTATCTACATTCATTAACATTCCACTAAGGCCTAGACATTGGCAAGTCTGCTGTAGCCGCTTCAGTGCTCCCGTCCCCAGCCCCCTTTTCTCAGTCGATCACCATGACAACCATGCGAAACTGCAGGCGTTCGGTGAACGCACGACCCCCCTCTTCCCGCAGGCTCGACCCGAGCTGAGTCATGGTTGCGCTTAAGCCGGCCTATTCTCCACACGTCGCCCAGCTTGGCTTTC